GTCCTTTTTTGCATGGATGTTAATTCGTTGTTTTCTTGAACCCTCAACCATTGTTTTGGTTTGAATTTTTACCTTGCCTTAGAAATTAGGGAGTATTCACTTTAATGTATGGTTGAATTCAAGTTGGAGAGAAAAATGATTGTGTATTTATTAGTTGATTGCTACGAGGTTGAAAAGAAAAAGAAAAGATAAAAAAGTGAGAAAAGAAATGAAACAAAAAGTGATAGGAAAAGAAAGGAAAAAAATAGAAAAGCTTTGAAAAAGAAAAACAAAAAGAGTATGGAATAATTTTGTGTTGAATAAGTGATGTGTGTTTTTTTGAAATTTGGGATGAATAAGAAGTTTGATTGAAATTATATTGTTTGAAAATTTGTGGAAGTAATTACCCCCTTAGGTTTAGGCAAGTTTTTGTTTCGATTAGCTTTAGGAATTATCACTTGTTTGTTAACCAAGCCACGTTACAACCTTGAAAAGTCCTTGAGATTCTTTATTTTATATTTTCAATATAAATTTTTGGATGAATGCATAATTTAGTTTATTGTTTGCAAGATTGTTGGATGAGTGAAAATATCCCATTTTTGTGTGTTTTTCATCTACCGATGATTATATTTGCTAGGTGTGATTCATTTGTGAACTAATATTATTTTAGAGTTTTTGGCATATTCTTTGTATTTAGCATTTGTTTCATGTTTATGTTACCGTCATAGTTTAGTGGTAAGCATATTTCTTCGTGTGTACCGTTTTTTATTAGAACCATTGCATTTGTTTTCTATTTTTTAGAACTTGTTGATTCATGAAATTTTGGTTGATTAATTTTGGTTATCTGAGTTGTTTTTCTTTGTTTGAGGATAAAAAAAGTTTAAGTTTGGGAGAGTTTGATAAGTGCAAATTATAGCTATTTTTGTATTTACTTTTTGTTGCACTTATCGACTTTTTATTTGTTAATATTGTTGAATAATCCCGACTTTTGTGTAAATTCATTTAGTTTATGTTTAATTGTATTTTTGTGTACATAGTGTACCCTTTCATGTTTTTCTATACATTTTATAGGTATTTATGCGTATTTGGAGTATGAGCAATAAAGTATCGAAGACACGGCTTCAAATACGGGATTTTGAGAAATTCGTCAATGAATAAGGCTCAAAATAAAAGAATAATAAATCATCAATTTGGTTGATATTGTGTCATTGTTATAAGGAGCATTGAATAAGTTTTCCAACGCTTCGAACAGAGCTCAAATCGGAGTTACGGTTCAAAAGTTATGGCTGAAATAGTGCAAAATGTCGTGTTGGTTTTTCATCTTGTTGTCATCTTTCGCCGGGCGATGCTTTTTGGTCGTCGGGCGTTACTGGACAGTCATAAATGCATATTTAGGGCCAAAAACACATTTTTTAGGTTATGTTTTGGGTATTTTTGGTCCCAATTCATCAAACCTCCATTTTTGGTCTTGAGAAGCTATAAAACAACATTGGAGCTTGCATCTTGATGATCCGAAATCAGATTTCTCATCAATCGGCGCTGACAATTCGTGAGATGTTTGGTTTTTCCTCCATTTCTTCTCTATGTATTTATCTATTTGTTGGGTATGTTTGTATATTTACTTTGAACATATGTATATTTGTTGATCATGGTGTTGTATAAAGCTTGCTTTACAAATCAATCTTGATGTCTTCTTTGATTTTTGCTTTATGTTTGGATTTGGATTGTTATAGACATATACCTCACAAATCTTGATTAAGGATGGATATCTATTAGTTTCTAGATTCTAGAGATAGATTTAGAGCTAATGTTCACTTCGGGTGCTAAAGTTTAATACCTCCGTGTTATTGTAGCGGGCAAGACATTGTCGGTAGAGTAATATGGTTGGTCTCGCGACTTGGCGTTAGACATACCCTTCGTTGTGGGTACATCTCGTGGTGTCCGTGATGATTTTGACGAGTACAGTAGGTTGAGTGCAACTGATCAATAGGTTTAAGTTTGTGACGAGTAGTGTAAATTCCTGCCTAGTAGGTTTCTCCTTTCTATTTAATGTATTTATTTTCTTGTCAATAGTTTTTACCCTTTTCTTACAAACAAAGCCATTTAATCCCTAAACTCATTAACAAATGCATTGTCGAACGGATGAATTCCTGGATAAATATTCATGGGTTCTGTAGTGAATCTTCATGGATGTTCATCAAAGTTCATGACTGTGGATGAAGGTTCATAGGCCTAACTTCATAGATTAGTGTCGGGGTCATCCTCTCCGAATTACGGGGAGGACTTGGGCAGCTTGGCCCGTCTGACCAAATGTCCCCGCAGAGGGTGTAGTGTATTCCAGCGTGGCAGTCGAGGGCTTGGGTTGAGGTCCATTCCTTGACACATTCATTGCCTTTTTACTTGATTTGTTGTGGAAGAGTGAATTTGATGATGTCGAATTCACTGTTTTCCCCTGCTTTTCAGGTATGGTGGCACATCCAGTCGAGAAAGTCACCGTGTCCGACACTCATGAGAACGAAACTACTGTCGCAGAGGAATAGTGCTCGCGCCTAGAAACAAAAGGTCGTGTTTTTCGCAGAACATTTTTGACGCGTTCAATTGTCCAGAGGTTCGAGCAGAGGGTGCTCCTGCCAATTGGACTATTCAGATCCCTCACCGAAACAGGAGGATATGCTCGACATATTCGGACAAACACTTTTCCATATATGAATTTACCTTTAAGAAAGCGGGAATGTATTTGCCTTTCAACGACTTGAGAGTTTTCAATTTTTTTTAATAATATGTCATGTTTTCATTGTGATTATGTATGATATATATAAACACAATAGCATGACTGAATATCAAGCTAAGGTTTCCAAACATGTCTAAGATTATATGCCCAAACATATGAGATGTATCCTAAATTGTGGCACATACAACTATCAACTTAAATTTACAAGAATGTTGACTGCATTAAATTAACCCAAGACATGTACAATGACATTAAATTCTTGATATAAATACAAATCTATTTAAAAAACAATGCCATAGTTAAGTTAAAAAATAATTCAATCTCAAAATTTCACCATCGCAGATACCATAATAAATTTCTATTCATGTGAAAATATGTCATGTTTTCATTGTGATCATGTATGATGATATATATACAATAGCTTGGCTGAATATCAAGCCAAATTTCCAAACATAGATAAGATGATGCCCAATTACCCAAACTATATATGTATCCTAAATTGACATATACAACTATTTACACGAATGTTGATTGCATTACATTAACCTAAGACATGTACAACGATATTAAAATTTTTATATAAATAAAAATATATTTAAAAAACAATCTCATAGTTAATTTCTATAAAGTTAATAAACTTGATGTTTTTTTTTTTGTGAAAAATACTAGTAATAATATATTGATTCAAAATGATAAAGAAATTTAGTCCATTTAATATGGATCTCTACTTCTTATCTATAAAGAAAATTCATGCAAGAATTATTTTACAGAATTATCAGAAAAGATTAATTATCAATTTTTGGTAATCACAAAACTCAATATTATATGACCATGGTCGAATTTAAGTCGCTCAATGAATTACGAAGAAACTTCGAATATAGGAAATTTCCAAAACAAACTTTTTTTAAAGAAGAAAAGACACTGAATTCAATGAAGTCACGCAGAAACAAAGAACCTACGCTAAGGTTTGAAGTGTAGGAAACTCACAAAACAATTGTTTATGCCAAAGCTAACCCGCAAGTAACAACAACGTTATTACGGTGTCTTTCCCATTCCAACCGTACAATGGGAATCTCAGCCATTAGTTCACACCACTATAGGTCAATTTCACAATTTTGTTTACAAAGGAATTTTTTTTCTCACATATTTTGAAAATATATCTTCCAATACGTTTTATATTATCTGAAATACATACATTTAAAAGTTAACAAAGTAGTGTGTTAATCGTGTAAAATAATTTTATACGATTATTAAATTTTATCGTCATTAAATTTTTTTTATCGTGTCATTACATTTTTTTTTAAAATAAAAGAGTGATTTTATTAGATACATAGTTGTGATTGATTGATAGCGTAAAATTATATTACACTATCACTGCTGTCAGTGTATCAATCACTTTCTCTATATTTTTTGATTAAAAACGACACTCATTCATTCAAATTGATAGAATAAATCGAATAATACAAATTCAAAATCGCTATAAACTGAAAAGGATGAATCTGCGAACAAACTCACAACATCCATGTTAATAGTATATAACGGCAAAATATCTACAAATGTGATAAAGCCTGACAAAATTGAAATGTTCGGAATATCCATGTCTCCGAATCTGCAGCGTTGAGGACGTCAAATTCATTGATTGAATATGGATTGAGTCGAAACTAATCTATCAATCTGAATCCAACAAATACCACACTAAAGACAGAAAAACCAAATAACACTGTAATAAGACGACGATCAACACAACGTCGCACTTAGACGACGAAATCACAAACCAAAAAATAAAAAGTATATGTGAAATTACTTTTTAAATAAAAAGAAAAATAAATAAATTAGAGGAGTGATTTTGAATCAAAAATGATCCTAAAATCACTTCTCTTTAAAAAATGAAACATTTTTCTCTATATTTAATTAGTTAAAAATTTATTATTTTTCTTCTTTCTAATATGTTAGGTGTAGAGAATTTTATATTATTCTCATTTCCAAAAAAAGAAAAATCTGTTTTGTTGTCATTTGCAAAAGATGAATTTTTTCTCTCATTTTCTCAAAAATAAAAAAATTTCTATTTCTGACACTGAGATTCTTCTCTTAACTATTTCTTCTTATTTGTTTCTTTCCATTTCCACTGTTCTCTGCGTGACTTGAACAAACGCGTTGACCTCATTCTTGGGTTTCGTTCCTCGAATTCAAAGTTTTGATCTTTCAAAAATTCCAAACTCGACACACAATCTTTAATCTTCCAAATTCTCAGATTCCTCTAGGTTCAATTTTCTTCTGGTTTTCTGTGTTGATGGATAACACGGATTCAAAAGTTGTTAAAGATGGTAAGAGCTACATGATGGATAAAGCTGTGGTGAGTTGTGTTATGGATGGTGAAAAAGCTGAAGATCATGTGATTGGCGAAGATGATAGTGATTGTAATTCTTTGTTGCCTCCTAGGAGAGGTGGAATGTCAAGGAACTGTGATAAGACAAGAAGGAAAGTTCAGTGGAATGATAAGAATGGTAATAAGCTTGCTGAGGTGTTGGAATATGTACCAAGGTAACTATTGTTGTTGTTTTTGTTGTTGTTGTTGTAAGTTTTTGGTTTTTATGTATGACAATGATCTGAAAACAATAGCTTATATAAAAACAATCTGACTTTATTTCATCCTTTATTTCCCAAATGTGTCTGCAGTGATGTTAGCGACTCAGAAGACGACGGAGATTCAGATTCTTGTATCTGTACAATAATGTAGAAATCATCTTGATATTAGTTGTCTCAAACTCTCTGGATTATTCAGGGTCATAATTATAGCTTGGATTCAGTTCATCTTACTGAATTTTCAGATGATTTCTTACACGGACTTTTGGATGAATCTTCGAACTTAGGTTGAAAGTGCCCCGCGAGACTCAAACATACTAAGTGCGGAAAATAGAGGTATTACAGATTTGAACCTGTGTCCACAAGCACATCAAATATATCCACAATTTTTACTATCTCAGCTGCACTTGAGGTGATTCAAGTATTCACTCCCAACTAACTGTGCTGAAACCTGGTCCTTCATTGTGCTCTTGATTATTGAAGTTTTCATGTCAGACACATGAGTTTTGTACACACTGTCTAGGAATGAGTCAGTTCGATGTGTTTACCTCGACAATATCTTTGTAAGTTTTGTATTAAATATGAATGAATTACAAAAACTTCTCATGAAGTACATTTAGTCTATAAATTTAGTGAAATTCGAAATTTTATTGATATAGTTTATTTTCACTGTTAGTTTTGATGTATGCTCTTGGAGTTTAAGTAAATGTCAATTTTTGGAGTTGTTAGATATGTCATACAGGTGCAATGTGAATAGCAAGTGTGAATCATACTTTAAAGTTTTGCTTAAGTGTGGCATTTGAGTTGTATTTTGGTTTGGAACAGAAGATCGATGATATGAAGCGAAGGATTTCTTTCGGTGTTGTGGTGCGAGTCTCCGATATCATTGAGCGGAGTGTATATGAAATGTTAACATTCCAACATTCAAGTCAACGAAGTTACAGAGATTTAACTGAAATTGCTCTGTCAATAACAGTTTAATTTCATTTATACTTTGATATTTTTATCGCATTTTTGATATTTTTTATTTATCGTTTTATCGTAGTAGGTGTGCCTCGCAACTATCCATGATTCTCTTTTAGGTTGAAACCTTAACAACGTTTTTTTAATCAAGCAATTGATCAATAAGTCAACATGTTTGACTTGAATAACAAGTTTGAAGACTTGAAGGAGATATTTTTAAGTTTGATTTGAATCACAACTTTGTCTGATTCGAATCAAGAGTAAATTTTGAAATTTGAAATTTGGCGCAAAAGGCTTGATTTATATTAAGGTATTGCATGACTAGAATAAAAGACACATTGTCTAGAATCATGAATGAACACAAATAATTGGAAATCAATTATGATTGTGTGATTTGAATCATAGTAATGGCTAATTCCATATCATGAATGAACACAAAGAATTGGAAATTAATTCTGGTTGTGTGACTTGTTTGACTCGAATGACATGATTCAAGTTATGCCTCAAACCAAACAAGCCAAATATTGATTTTAGCATTTAGATCCAAGTGACTCTTTTATTTTATTCAAAACATTATTTTGGATCTTGACTTGAATCAAATTCTTAGTTTATCATCTATTTTGTGTCTTATCTCTAATACACATATAATATTTTTCTTTCTCTCTTTAGAAAAAATTCATTCATAATTTTCACAATCTTTGAAAAACCAAGAGCGTTCTTTCAATCACACAAGCTTTCTTTCTCCATTTAAAATTGAATAAAACCTTCCTTGAGTTTTGATTTCGTGAGTTCTAATTATGTATTGTGTGAGACTCATTTGAAAAACATATGTCTTCAACCTTTAGCCAAAAAACTCCATTGTTGAGGTTATTCAATTCTAAGACTGAATGTGACTTGTGGTTGTAAGGCACATTAAAGATTCCAATGTTTTTGTGAAGATTGTTTTGTAAGGTAGATTCAAGATATTCTAATATTTTTATGAAGAGTGTCATTCCGTTGTATTGAAGATATTGCTTGATTAGTGGTGTATTGGTCGTTCTGATTGTGTTGTTGTAAATTTTTTAATCTTGTGAACTTTGAGATGTTTACATTAATGTATTCAATACCAATTATTAATATTATTAATTATTATTCTAGATATATAACTCGGAGGTATTACAATTTGATGCGACAGAAATATAAGAGTATCCAACTTTCTTTGAAGAAACAAAATAATTGTGTTTGAGCTCTACGCCAACACGTTCAACTATCCTTTTGGACACTTTGTGTCATATGTTCAAGGAAAAGAGATCACCTGTAATGTTTTCTCTATCAATAGAATGTTGGATTTACAATCACATGAAGAATGTTATGTTCAAAGAAGGAGGCAACCACAAAACCAACCAACTGAAGAAGAACAGAAACCAATGTTTGCACAATTGTGTCGATCAGACATAATATGGATTAGGAAACATATACCTCTTCTAACTTCTACTATGATCTCTAATCTTTGACCTCAATTTCATGCATATTTGCAGGAATACCACCTTTGAAGGTAGAGAAAACTAAGAAATGGGGGATTTAAATTGTGTTCATAGAAAACATTACCCATTAAAATTCTAAGCACTCAAATGATAATAGCAATAAATACAATGAAGATAAAGGACATGAGAATTTTATCTAGGTTCACTGTTAACTATGCTACTCCTGTCCACTACCACAAGTATGATTTCACCTTATTCAAGAACTTAATCCACTATAATCAAACTGGTTATAATCGCACGGATAAACGTCAGTGACTAACACACAATAACATATTAAGGGATCCAACCGGATATAACGTTCATTGACCCAATAGAATCTGATCCCTCAAGATCTCCTACCAGAATTTCCTTACAATGATATCCATCAGAGATCTCACAAGAGTCTGACCTTCATTCGTTCCTCTTTGAGATATGACTACTGAAATTCTGGCTGCAGATACTCAATGTCACGTTCAATGTTATGACACCATATTTGACTTTCTATAAGACAGTAAATACAAAAATAGTAAAGAACACAGTCAATCGTTCACCCAGTTCAGTGTGCAACAACACCTACTCTGGGGGATACCAAGCCAGGGAGGAAATCCACTATAAGAGATATTAATTCAGGAATAAACCAACCAGTTTATCTCCTTCACTTAAGACCTACCCAATGCAACTTCAATCTAAGTACAACTTAAACCTGAGTTCCTACTCACTCCCCCTCAATCACAGCAGTGATACTTAAAACAATTGACTAATGAATTGATGAAGACACTCTTCAAAACATACACTTGATTATGCTTCACATCTTATTAATCAAGCAACACAAACACTCTTGCTTCACAGCTTTGAGTGATACATAAACCTAACTTGACTTTGCTTCAAAGCTTTAGTCAAGAGACACAAAAACACTCTTGCTTCAAAGCTTTGAGTGATACACAACCCTTACAATTAAAACCTATTCCAAGTCACTTATCACAATGATACTTGCTTGGATTACAATAGTTAAAACTATACAGCTTCTAAATGATCTTCTGTCAAAAACGGATAAATTCCAAACAGCAGCCCTGTTGAATATATAGCAGCTGCATCTTCAGTTAGGGTTTCCACAAGAAGCTAGGGTTAATTCCGTTTAACCTTAAGACTTGGTCACATGACTTTATCAACCAGGTTAGGGTTGAGCTAGATTAACCCCAAGTCCACGAGATTTTCTATTCTGGAAAGACTGAGTCATTTTCCTGAAAAAACTCAGAATTACCCAAACTGCAAAACTGTTAGTTCAGAACAGGATGTCTTAACATTTGTTATGACATCTGAATTCCTGTCTACTGATTTTGGTAAATATGATCTTTTTGCAAAATGCTCAGATACACACTCATAAACAGCAACACCTGTATGACAATATTTTTCTGCAAAGGTACCTAATAAATTAGTACCTAATAAACTAGAATATTATGACATCAGTCATGACATTCACACACCTGGTTTTACCAAAAATGCATGTCAATAACTAAACAACTACAAACTCTCCCTTTGGCAGATTTTTGGCTAAAGCCCCTAAGCAATCAGAGATAGATAGCATCAGAATAAATATGACTGCAGAAAAATAGAATGTCTATCAAGTAATTGACAGTAATTGACCACAGAATAATATCTCCCCCTCTTTAGCCACAAATGGGCCAAAGATACATGTTCTTAAAAATTATACAGTCATCCCAAAAGTATTAAAAACAACAACTAAAATCTGAACACACTTGCAAACTCCACCAGGAACCAGCAACAACTCAACCAACCTTTAAGCACTGTCATCAGACTCAGAAGGTTCAGGCTTCTTCCTTTTCTTGTGAGCAATATCAGCATTCTTCTCTTTGTCTGATGTCTCAATATCCTTAGAGACATCTGGATTTGTTTCAGCATTTGAACTTTCTTGATTTAAAGGAACAGAAATGCCAGGAACTAAGTGGTTCTCGTTCAGAATTCTTGTAACAATTTTAGCTATTGCTTGACGAATATAGGCTGACCCTTCCCTATTTGCAATTTCAGAGGGAACAAAAGAAGAAGGATGAGAAGGATTACCAGAGGCAGTAGCTTGGGACCTTCCTGCATGCCTTGTTCTCAGCTCTTTGACCTTGGTGGGGTTAGTTTCCACGTCTCTAAGAGGAGCGATCTCCAGGACTTCAGAATCCAGGCAAGATGAGATTGCCCTAGAATCTTGATCAGAGGAAGAGGATGAAATAGTCGTATTGGATGATGATGGTGTTTGAGACATTTTGATAGTCTTAGAAGACCAATAGCAACTGGAGAGAAAATTCTGATTGAGAGATTGGGTTTTGATGCGGAGACGAGAGAGGAAGGAAGAAAAGGAGTGTCTATTCAACTTCTTAAAAGAATTGAGGGAAATGGGAAAATATAAGTTTAACCCAATCAGAACAGACTTAACAAGCATAACTCCTTCAACCCTTGTTTTAAGCAAAATTAATTGCTACAATTCCTCATGTTGGCAAATACCCAGCTTACCCCTCAAGTTTTCAAATTGATTTGCATCAAGTGCCTTGGTAAAAATGTCAGCCAGCTGTAGCTCAGTGGCAACATGTTCCAATTTAATTGTCTTCTCTTCTACAAGGTCTCTGATAAAGTGATGTCTTATGTCAATATGTTTGGTCCTACTATGCTGAATGGGATTCTT